TGTTCGCATTCCCATAAAGAAGGAACATATTTTTTCAAATATTTGCCATTAATGAATCTTACGTGCTTGGTGCCATTTAAATCTTCCAAGTGGTATGCTCCATTAGGCAATACATTGCTTATTTTATATGGTCCTTCCCAGTTGGGCGACCACTTCCAGTACTTTGGATCATTGGTGTCCAAAGGGAGTATTGTCTTCCAAACTAGTTCATCCAGGCTGAATGACTTGGCTATGTCCAAACTAGTTCACCCAGGCTGAACGACTTGGCTATGACTTTTTTATTATAAAATTTAGCCATTCTTTGCTTTTGAACTTGCAACCTATCCAAGACGTCCAACTTCAGTTCATCTAAACTTAATAAATTTTGAACTAGCGATTCGGCATACTCATCATCATTCAACTTATGTTGTAAGCACACTCGAATTGATTGCACGTTGATTTCCATAGGCAAAACGGCCTCCTGTCCATAAACAAGTTGGAAAGGAGTAACTTTGGTACTTGACCGAGGTGATGTTCTATAAGCCCATAAAGCCATATTCAAACATTCGTGCCAATTTCTGGCGTTTTTCTTTATCATCTTTCTGATGATATTTTTTTAGAATCTTATTAGAAGATTTCGCTTGTCCGTTGGATTGAGCGTAGTACGGTGTGGAGTTTACTAGTTTAACCCCAAATTCGCTCAAAAATTTGTTTACTTGATCCCCATTCAAAGATGTTCCGTGATCTACCATTATAGTTTGTGGAATTCCAAACCTATAAATAAGGTGATCACGAATAAATTCTATAACATTCTTCTGAGTGATCTCTTTTAAAGGTACTGCTTCTACCCATTTAGTGAAATTCGGTTGCAACTATAACAAAAGTATGTTGTTTGGACAATGGAGGGTAGATCTTCCCTATTAGATCTATCGCCCAACCTTTGAATGGCCAAGGTTTAATAATAGGTGCCATCTCTCGCGCTGGCGCCCTTTGTATTGGACCATGCTTTTGGCATGCTAAACAA